GAACCTCCATTGGTGTATTATTGGTGCAATGCTGCTCTCTGGACACGGTGTGACTATTTGGCTTTCAATGTGATGGTGTGATCTGGAATTGTCATTTCGCTGTTACTTATTTTCCTTGCAGCTGGGCCACTCCAAGGGAGAAGGCTTGGGTGGAGACAAGAATTCTGATTCAAGATAGGCTTCTTTACAAATGGCACAAGACGGGAAACGCCAAGGCGGATGACGAAGAACAGCAGGGGTGCAATCAGACTTGCTTTCATTCACACTTTTCATGCATGTAAACAGTAGCGCAGCAAACTGGCGACGTGCGCCCACTCAAAACTCAGAGATATGGCATCCAGATACGAGTTCACTTTCAACTGGCTATGGCGACTCAGCGCCTAAACAACTCACTGTTCACATACACCGGAACACCCTGGATATCCCACACGCGTCACTCTGAACACTCGCACATACACACATACACTTCACACTAAACTATAGCTATGGCAGCTATGGTTGCCTCTACCCTATCGCTATGCTACCCTCCTTCTCTCTCGCCACTTCAGCTCCGGGCTCTCTGCAGACCTCCTTGCACCAGTCGATGTGGCAGCGCTTCCGCATGGCTCACGCAGGAATGAATGAAAGGCTGGGCGCTGCCTCTTGATTTATACTTCTGAAACTCGTTGGTCTGCCCTCTTCCATCGGCCCATGGTGCTCACAGTCCCTTGTGGTACTTGCTGGACCGGACTGCGACTGACTGGACCTTACCGCTGACTGAGTGGGGACTCACTGCTAACCCACCGAGATCGTACTGCAATTGCACTGGAGTTTAGTCCACCACTTGACTCACCACTTGCCCACTTGCACACTTGCCGACCTTCTAGAAGGCTACAGCTAGGACTTCTAGACTTCGCTAAGACTTCTATCCTACAGGTCTACAGATCGGACCCCTGCTACCTACGGACCTATGACAGCCTATCAACTGTTTACGAATACACAGGTCACAGGTTCAACTCTCGGGGTCTACACAGGTACTGTACACAGATAGGGCAAGGTCTAGAGATCGAACCCTGGGATCTACGTATGCTACTGCAAAGAGGTGAAAACCGTTTCACTCCCGCCATCCTAAATTCGAGGTCCTCCGAGAATATTTCAGTCCAAGGCAGGACCTTTACCCTTCTTATCACGCTCATAGGCTCTGACTATGTTGGGAGGTGTTTCTAGCAGTTCTGCCCTTGTAAACCAGCGATCATCTTCCGGTTCCTGATAAGCAAACCGGACCTTATACTGTTTCTGGGGACGACCTCTACCTCCTGTTCTGAACACATCCTCATCTACAATGCCGTCAATGTCATACTTCCATCCATATCCGGGGGGATCATGGATCTTCTTGAAGGGAACTGTTGACTTGTGACACACGGCAACAGCTTTGAAGCATGGAACACAGGGTATGTGTGGAGGTGTGCTGGGATCTCTATAGTGTAGGGCGGTCCATCCTCTCCGCCCTTGACTTCTAAAACTGGCCACGGTCCTCTATATGCAGGCAGCAACTTCTGCGAGATGTGCTCCTCAGGTGCGAACTCTTTAGACTTGACCCAGACTAAGTCGCCTACCTGAAACTGCGATGGGCGACGGTGCTTATTGGCCTGTTCTATCATTCTATGCTGGGCCTTCCTGAGGTTTTCAACAACAGTTGCTAGCTCTTTCTCGTGCAGTAACGCGAACTCCCTAGTACCGGGCGGTAGCTTGTGAATCTGATCCCGGTTCATTCCTTCGAACGGTCTGCGTGGTCTAAAGGACTTGTGCAGCTCATTGGGAGTGCGGCAGGTGGATAGATGCACGCTGTTATTGTATGCACTAGCTACCTTAGGCAACATCTCATCCCAGTTGATCTGGTCAGGTCTAATGTACATGCGCAAAACTTGTTGGAGGATCTTGTTCATCTGTTATGTCTGACGGTTGGTCTCTGGATGCCGGCCAGACGACATTAACAACTTAGATCCGTAAACCCCAATGAGTTCTTGCCAGTTCTGGCTGGTGAAGCGACTATCTCTATCACTAACTATTGACAACGGGATTCCATTCTCACTAACCCAAAAATCGAAGAACTTTCGGATAACTAACTCTGTACKTGCCTCTGCAGGCAAGGGAACAAAAACAGCATACTTGCTAAAACGGTCAACTATGACCATGACTTGGCTCTTGCCATGCCTACTCTTGACCTGAGTATCCATGAAGTCTATGGACACTGAGTCTCCAGGTTGATCAGGAATAGGCAGCGGTCTGAGAAGACCTAGGGGCCCGTGTGTAGTAGTCTTATTCCTCTGGCACACTTTACAACTGCGAACATACTCTATGCAGTCATTCTTCATCCCTGGCCAGGTGTACGCACGCATCAGATTGGCTAATGTCTTCTGCCAACCGAAGTTTCCCTCTGTGTCATGGCATTCCCCTAGGATCAGACTGCGGATTTCTTCACTATTGGGAACGCATAGGCGGTCGAATACATTCGTCTTCTCAAACAGCAATCCTTTTGTAGTGCGGTAGTGTGGTTCGGTCTCTGGGGCCTCCTTAACTCTCTTGAGGAGGTCACTATAGATAGGGTCCTACGCATACGCTTGCCTTACTTTCTCCTTCAGGTCTCTCCCTATATCCAGATAGTGTACTATGGCTCCAAAGTAGTCTGATCTCCTACTCAGAGCATCCGCAACTACGTTGTTCTTGCCCTTCACTGGCTTAAGCTCAAAGTCATACTGGTCTATCTCAACGGCCCACCTAGTTAACTTAGGTGTCATCTTGGCCTGGGTCTTTAACCATCTAAGTGTTTCATGGTCATAATACACTTTGAAGTGCCTCCCAAGCAGGTAATGCTTCCAGTGCTCTAGAGCCTGCCTGAGAGCGTAGAGTTCTCTYTCATACGTCGAGGTGGCTACCTTCTCTGAGGGCATCCTCGTTGACATGAACTCTACGGGTCTATAGCCATTGTCGTCGTCTCGCTGCAACACGACGCCTATACTATACCGACTCGCGTCCGTGGTGACGACAAATGGCAAGGACGGATCAACTACTTTGAGGACAGGATACTCTATTAACGCGCGCTTTAATCTCTTTAGCGCATACGTACATTCTTTATCCCATTGCCAGATTGCCTCTTTCTTTAGCAACCTGCGCAAGGGAGCGGCGATGGTAGAGAAGTTCCTCACAAACTTCCTATAGTAGTTGGCTAGGCCTAAAAACGACCGCAACTCTGTCAACGTGCGGGGCGTCGGCCAGTCTTGAATTGCCGCTATCTTGCTGTCCTCTGGCTTAATGCCATCCCCGTCTTATACGTGGCCCAAGTACAGGACTTGTGTCTTGGCCCACTCACACTTCTTCGGGTTGATCTTGACGCTAGCCTCTCTTAGCTTCTCCAAGACCTGCCTTAGATGACCCTGATGCTCCAAGAGGGTCTTACTGAAAACTAAGATATCATATAAATAAACTACTACAAACTTGTCTAACCACAGATCGTTCATACATCGCTGAAATGTCGCTGGCGCGTTAGTCAGTCCAAAGGGCATCACTATAAACTCATAGTGCCCATATCGAATCCGGAATGCAGTCTTGTACTGGTCATCAGGATGGATCTCTATCTGATGGTATCCGGACTTCAAGTCTATCTTAGAGAAATACTTGCAACCCTGCACCCGATCTAAGAGATCGTCTATCCTAGGCAGTGGCTCAACATTCTTTACAGTAATCGCATTCAAACCCCTGTAGTCTATACACATACGAAGCTCTCCTTCCTTCTTGGGGACAAACATAACAGGTGCTGCAAAAGGAGATGAACTGGGCCTGATCCAACCTTTCTCGAGGAGTTCGTCTAGCTGCTTGCGTAACTCCTCTAACTCTCTAGGGGACATCATGTAGACTGCTCCCTTAGGAGTTCTACTGCCAGGCTCTATCTCTATCCTGTGCTGGATGGGTCGCGACACTACTCCTGTCGGCGACTCAGTCAAATCTTTGAACTCTTCCAGCAGCTTGGCAATCGTTGGATCTGTGGAAGTCACCTCTTCCTTAGCCTCGGTGGCAGGTCTAACATAAACTACAAAGACCTGTTCCTCTAATCGCTCCTTCTTCACTAACCGCGCGAACGTGGGAGCACTGAGACAGCAATGTGCCAAGGTGTTGTCTACACCTGACACATAAAACAGGCAGGCAGTCTTAACCTCGCCTTACGGACTAGGGAGCCTACACTCATGCTCTCTCAAGTGGAGTGTGGCCCCTCCTGCCTCTCCCCAATCCATTCCTAACACTATGTCGAAAGGAAGGTCATCCTGTACGAGGAGAGTCAGGGAATGGAGAACTTTCTYCACCTTCCCATCCTTCTCTAGGCGGAAGTACGCCTGGACTCCCTCTACGTAGTCCTCAACTCGCATCGTGCGGTTGTCTGCGAGGACACTGACTATAGGGTCTGCTAACTTTTGGACTTTCAATCCTAGCCTCAACTTCTTCAGCGCCCTACGGGTAATATAACTGCGAGTGGCCCCTGAATCTATAAGGGCCCCTACTCTGCTTCTAAACACTTCTACATCTACCAAGATCAGCTGACCCTTACTCACCTTCTTCATTTTGGCCCAGGCTGGCATCCTCTCCTTCAACTCTTCTTCCACACCTGTGAGGGACGTGCCTAGAGATACGCTAACACAAGCAGTCTCTGGACAACTAGCTAGGCACGGGCCTGCAACCTCTGCCATAGGCTCATGTGGTTTGGGAGTTTCCTGTTCGCGCGCGCTCGCTTCCCCACATGGCCCTAAAGTAGGGGCAGTTGCAACCCCTACTGGCGGCTGCCTTTTGACTGCTGGGCAGCCCAAGGTGCCTGTCTATACTTAGGACAAAATTTAATAATGTGGGTCGGGTCACCACAAAACACGCACTGACCCAAGTCCACGCGTTCCTGCCATAAACGTTGGTCCAAGCCCAAATCCTCCCAGGGCCTGCCCTGTGGCAAGCCTGGGTGCCATCCTCCTTGAGGTACCCTTCCACCTCGTCGCTGTGGGGACTGGCAAGAACCCTGGCGATTTGGCGGGGGACCTTGACCCCTACCTCCCACTTGGCGGTTCCCTTGTCCGCCAACCCCCTGTGCGCCTGGTCCTCGGCCTCCCATGGCCTGGCCCCTTTGGCCCTGGCCTCCTCCTCTACTTTGCGGCCTCACTCCAGCCGCGACAGCAGCATAGGACCTCCCCTGTCCCACACTACTGTCCTCCTCCTCAAGGCCCCACTCAATCTGACTATATGGGACCTCATTTGTATCATCCTCCTCTAAGGTAAGGATCATGTGATCCTTAGCCCTGACTTGGCCTGAGAGGGTACGACCTTTCCACTTCTTCCCCTTGTCTAAGTCCTTATGCCAGAAAGTGGTAACTGGCATGCACTTGGCCTCAAACAGCACCACCTCTCTACTTAGCGCATCGTACGTCATGGTGGGCTGTTGGGACTTGTCAAAGAAGTGCCCACGCAGGGGCTCAGGCATGGCACGATAAAATAACTGGACCAATTGGGTCTCAGTGACCCCATGGTCTGGGATGACTACCAAGTCGTCCATGACGCCCTTGAGTGCCTTTGCACTCCTCCACTGTCGTGAGTGGATGGTTTGGAGCTTGTCAGAGGCTCTAACGCCTCTGCGAAGATCAGCGAATCGCTCCCTAAGGAGCTTGAAGAATTGAGGGAGAGGGGTAATCTTGGAATAGGCGACCATGTTGTTTTCACAACCGGTCGATCGCGTGAGGGATCTAGCAAAACTGGCCGCTTCGTCCTTGAGGGCCTGGAAGGCTACCAGGACCTGATCATCTTGTACGATGTGCTGTAAGTAAACGTAGTTGTTAACACTAGCCTCCCAGTTGTCGAAGTTCTCGTCAGATTTCCCACCATAGGCATCGGGAAACTTGAGTTTGATTGGCCTCGCCCTCAACAGCGGCTGCTACTTTGGCGCCCTCAATGGCACCTTCACAAAACTTCCCCACGTTTTCTCTCAACCGCCTGACTTCCCCTTCAACGTGGGTAACCATTTCGCACGCGAATTCTCTAAATTTGGACCGCATGGCACTCAACGCTACCTCTTGGCTCCTGTTGGCCTGACGCTCCTCCGTCCACGCTGCGCTCAGCACCTCCAGGTACCCCAACACCTTATCCCATTTGGCCTTGTCGTCTGCCTGGGCCTCCACTTCTTCCCTACAATCCTTCATCTTCGCCACCTCTGCGGTCAATCTGTTAACTTCATCCCTCCTTCTTTTCTTCTCCCTCTTCATTCTCAGCTTCCACTCCAGCTTTTTCTCCTCCTCTCTTTCTTGTCTTTCCAAGGGGTCATCCATTGCTGCTAGCTCCTTGGCTAACGCATCCCTTTCGTCCTGGGGCACATAGAACTCCGCCTCCTCATCTTCCCCCAACAATAAATTAGCTATCCACTCGCTAATCTTCTTCTCCAACCCTGCGTCTTCGTCCTTCTTCGTGCCACTTCTCCCCTCTCTGCTTTCAATACACATTCTTTCTTTTTCTTCTTCTGCTGCTGCTTCCTCTTCGACAGCCTTTCTCCTCTTTTCCTCCTCCTGCTGAACTCTCTCCATCTCCTCCTCCAGTTTCTTCATCTTTGCCGCCTGCTCCTCTGCGATCGTCTTTAACTTCGCCTGTTCCAGGAGCTCCTTCTTCTCCTTGTTCTCTCTCACTAAGGCGGCCATCTGTTCTTGCTGCTCAGGGGTGTAGGGGCTAGTACTCTTCCCACTACGAAGGTCAACCATGGTGACAAGTGCACAACCGGTTTGACGGTTCCAAACCTCACACCGTAGACTCTAACCCCTGGCTGACAGACCTACTGACTCAATCTAAGACTCACAGAATCTGGACAGGGATCATGCCAACTAGAGTCTCTAGCCTGGACCTAACTATGGCTGTCACTACTAGACATGTTGCTGATCAGGAGGCATTTAAGGAGATCCCCCGTAACTCCTCATGAATTATTTAACGTTGCAGACAGGACGACGCAATCAGCAGGTCTCTCAACACTTAGACGGCCTGTTGTGCAGCCCACAGCTCGGATTTTGGGCCTACTGTGCCACACCAAACAGCCCGCCGGTCAGTACCGGTCCTTGGGAGGGTTCGTGTCCTCCGGGACAGTCGAGTCGTCAGATAGTCTTTAGCCCTACTTAACCCGTGTGGGTTTGGTCAACAAGGCCCTATCCTTCATCCACAGAGTACTATCACCTAGACAGAAGAGACTCAGTGCAGAAAGAAGAGACAGACCGACTGGACTCAGCAAGTACCACAGGGTGTGTGCACATCCATAGGGCGAGGGATAGGCTGAAGGCTTGGCGAGATTTTACCGGCTCCAGCTTGGTCCAAGTCTTGGTCAACGCCTTGGTCAACGCCGGTCGACGCTGCGGTCAACCCTCGGTCAACGCTGCGGTCAACCCCCGGTCAACTCCGGTCAATTGCGGTCAACACCTCCGGTCAACTCTCTCGGTCAACCCTTCGGTCAGCTATGGCTGCCGGCTTCTCTTTCCCTCACCAACCTCCCTCTTTGCTTCACCTTCCTCGCCTCCTGACGCTTCGCGGCTATGGCCGCTATCTCCTTCGTGGGACTGCACGGCACACTTCACAGGTACGTAACAGCCAAACTTGTATCGCTCATCTCTCTCTCTCTCTCTCTCTCTCTCTCTCTCTCTCTCTCTCTCTCTCTCTCTCTCTCTCTCTC